CCCCAAAACCCCAAAACCCCAAAACCCCTTATATCTGTACAAATCAATTCTATAAGATAATAAAATATTAAAGAATCATTATGAATCAATGTCAAATTTTATTTAATCACATTATCAATCACTCCATAAAGCTTTAGAGAATATCTTCATTTACTTTATCCTTTATTATGTCAGATTCAATTTGATTACTGGCTTATGATAGGCTGTCAGCCTCCTCAGACTTATCCTATTTCCTTTTAATATTCTTAGTTCTAGCTTTAAATTGAGTTACTCTATGAGTATTTTCAGTCTCTGAGGAAAAATCATTATCTGCAACTTACTCTTTATTATTTTATATACTCTCTTTTCTCTCCTATTTTTATTTTTCATTTTTCTTGTAAAAATCATAAGCCTTGGAATTATTATCAGAGAAAGATTATTAAAAGCAAACCGATTAAGAATTTGTCTCTTTCATTACCTCAACTTTTTTTTTGTTATTCTCTTTAGGTTATTTATAGATAGAATTATCGTCTTTTGTTTAATCGTTAAAATTCTTGTTCTAAATTTTATTTTTATTTTAATTTTTTGAGTTAGTTTAAGCCGAATCTTTCCAGATGCTGTCCTTAATTTTCTTACTAGTCTTAGATTTTTTCTTCTACTCTTTCACTTTTACTTGTAAGTTCTAATTATTTGAAAATTTTTCTACCAAATTAGGCAACTCCAGCATTTTTAGAATCTTTTAATCTAATTGCGATTTTCTGCTATTTCTAACTACACCTTTTAACGATTTATGAAGTATATCAGGGTCATCTAATGTCTTTGATTTTTTGTAAATATTGGTCTTTGTTTTATTTTCAAATTATGTTAATACATTCTAGCCAAAAAATGGAATCAACTCTTTCTAAGTATCTGAGAGCAAGAGCTCAGAAAGTGATGTAGCTAATCTGATTTTCTTTAAATATCTAACGATGTCAAATTCTTTAGTTAGTTTGCTCATTCCAACTTTGTATAGTAGATCTTTAATGTTTCTATTCTTCTATTTCATTACTTTTGCCCAGCAACCCCTCAACTTAGACCTTAAGTAATCTGAAAATGAATATTCAAAGTATTTGAGTCTTTTGAATTTGCTCTTCAATAGCTTTAGCTATGATTTTTCAGATAATACTTGATCTGATGGCTCTTTACTTTTATTTTGGTCTCTTGTTTGGCTTAAAAGATCTCGCTAAGATGTATCATTAAGCTTATCATGTTTCTTATTCCAATCTGGATCTAATTTATCAAAATCAGCACCTTAGTTTTATATTATTTCATCAATAGCATCATCACATAACTAATCCATACTAAGATAGAGTCTTTTCATTATTGATGCGTGATAGAGAACCTTTTAAATCTTATCTGTAAGTACTTTGAATACAATCATAATAATAGATGCAAATCCTCCAGTTGCAGTTAAAGCATCAATGAAGTTATATGATATTCTTGTGGTATCTACAGTATTCTCATCCATAACAAAATTAAAAGAAACCCATAAATCTCTATTGCTCTTCAGTTAAAAGTTAGAAGTCTTTTTAGTGATTGTACCGTATGTATAATTCTTTACGCTAATAGAAGAAGCCAACCAACTATCTCTTAGTTTCGCATAGTTTTAAGAGATGCCAAAGTATTCAAACCTTATATCTGTCTATGGGGTATACTATAATGCAGTCAATGTATATTTAATTGGATTTTTTTCGAATTCTGCTACATCTAAGAACTACTCAAGATAACCAAATAGAAAAAATGAGTCTTTACTTATAGCATCAGTCTCTTCTCTCGATTTGCATGTTAAATTAGGGAAATTTTTAATAAGATATTTTTAATCGCAGTAAGTGAATTCAATTTTCAATCTTTATGATACAAAAGAGCCCATTCTCCCTTGCAAAAGAGTTTCATTAACCTAGGGACACCACCATTTAGAATTATCTTATTCATCAGATTGGCCAGCAAATCTATCTTATGTGCATCGTGCAATATCGATATCTTTTCTTATATATTCTAGGGGATACTCTCCATCAGTATAATTTTTTTTAACCGCAGTTTAAAACACAAACATCTTTATCGAAAAGTATTAAAATAAGTTGGTAACTTAGGGATCTAGTCCTGAATAGCTAAGTTATACTCCATAATCAAACTAATTCAGATTGAACGAGTAAAATGATTTATCACCGTAAAGATCTCTCACATACTTAATCTCATTTATTGTATATCTTGATTTGCTAATGACATCAGAGAACATAACAAAGAAGTAAACTAGAAGGGCTATTATCGAGAAGATAGTCATGATTCCACCAAATGAAGATGTAAAAGTTTGATTCTATTTATATGTGAGAGAAATAGGATAGCCAAACCTATCTGCTTTCCTTAATCGATCTTTAACACCCTCTGTTAAACTTTCAAAGTATGTTCTAATTTAGGGTTTACGATAAGAATTTAGTAAACTCATCAACAATTTAATTCTAGTAATAATAGCAAGCTTATCATCAAAATTAATCTGAACTTTATATATATAAAATTAATTTCATTTTCTTTCTATTTTATATTAATCATGCTATTGGGGTTTTGGGGTTTTGGGGTTTTGGGG